GGATACAGGATTGCGCATCAAAAAACGCCACAAACCGTTTGGTGAGTGGCGTTTAGGAAGTGGAGGATAGGGGACTTGAACCCCTGACCTCTTGCATGCCATGCAAGCGCTCTCCCAACTGAGCTAATCCCCCGAGATTGTTTTGAACACATAAAATGTTTTTAGTGATCCAGAACAGCTTTGAATTCGGCAGTTTCAGGCCTTGATTGAAGGGAAAATGACGAATTCAACGGAAATTCCATTAAAATTTCCTCGCGAAGGGTAATTTGAGCCGGCCTGAGTGTCAAGAATTGAGAGGAGCGTATTTCTTCAGTCTCTTAAGGTGTCGGTCGCAGCCTGTCCTGTTAGAATGTTACGCTACTAGCGCGGCCTGTGCGGTCGCGACCAAATAAGGACAGTCAAATTGAGACCGCTGGACTAGGGACTAGGGACGAGTGGCTAGGGTGAACAATTCGCGAGCGAATATTATATATCCTGAAACCAAAGCCCAAATCCTGACTCCTAAATCCTTTACGTAATGTCACTCAAAACATGCGCGTAGTGATCGCACATGTTGAGATGAAAGACAAATAAAAATAGCTCTCAGTCTCAATCACATTGGCATTAGACAATGTGTCTCGAAACGAAGATATCGTAATATAAGGTGTTTCTGGCTATGGCAACCGATGATGTAGTGAAGGCGGCGGAAGGCTTAATCGAAGGCATTGATTCTGTCGAACTGGAAGAGTGGTTTGAGTCTCTGGAAGACGTCCTCCATCGATATGGACCCGAAAAAACTCAACAGCTCCTGGTTCAACTGCGAGAGCGAGCCTATCACCGCGGCGTCATGATGCCCTTCAAAGCAACGACGCCCTACGTCAACACGATTCCGATCGAGGAGCAACCTCGGTTCCCCGGCAACATGGAGTTGGAAAGGCGGATCAAATCAATCATTCGCTGGAACGCTATGGCGATGGTCGTTCGAGCCAACAAGAAGACCAATGATTTTGGTGCCGTTGGTGGTCACATCTCGACTTATGCCTCGTCAGCCACCTTATATGAGGTTGGCTACAACCATTTCTTCCATGCTCGAAATGCAGACCACACCGGTGACATGGTCTACTTCCAGGGGCATGCTTCTCCCGGGATGTACTCCCGCGCCTTTGTCGAAGGTCGTTTGGACGAAAGCCATCTTGAGCATTTCCGACAAGAGAACGTCCGCGGGACTGGCCTCTCTTCCTATCCACACCCGTGGCTGATGCCAGATTTCTGGCAGTTCCCAACTGTTTCTATGGGACTTGGCCCCATTTGCTCGATCTATCACGCACGCTTCTTGCGTTACATGCAACATCGAGGTTTGCTTGACACATCCAAATCACGTGTTTGGGCGTTCCTAGGTGATGGTGAAATAGATGAACCAGAATCGCTGGGAGCAATCACACTCGCTTCTCGAGAGAACCTTGACAACTTAACTTGGGTCGTGAACTGTAACCTACAGCGACTCGACGGTCCCGTTCGCGGTAACGGTAAGATCATTCAGGAATTGGAAGGTGCCTTTCGTGGTGCGGGCTGGAACTGCATCAAAGTTGTTTGGGGTGGGGAGTGGGACAGCCTCTTTGCTCGCGACTACAACGGCAAACTGACCAAGCGACTCGGTGAGATCATCGATGGTCAGTATCAGAAATATTCCTGCTCGACAGGGGATTATATTCGTGACCACTTCTTTAATGATCCCGAACTTCAGGAACTTGTCGATCATCTCAGCGATGAACAACTAGAAAAACTTCGTCGTGGTGGACATGACCCAGAGAAGGTCTTCGCCGCTTACCATTCTGCCGTCCACCATAAAGGAGCTCCGACCGTCATTCTGGCAAAGACCATCAAGGGCTACGGTCTCGGTGAAGCGGGCGAAGGTCGTATGATCGCTCACAACACCAAGAAAATGAACAACGAGGAACTGCATTCGTTTCGAGAGAGGTTCAACATTCCGATCGACAAAGACGATGTTGAAAAAATGCCGTTCTATCGACCAGAGGAAGGCAGCCCAGAGATGGCCTATCTCAAGTCACGCCGAGAACAACTCGGTGGAGCTCTTCCAGCACGCAAGCCAACAGACGAGCGGCTTGACGTTCCATCTTTAGAGGACAAATCCTTTAAGCGGCAACTCGCTGGAACCGGTGGTAAGGGTGCCGTTTCCACAACCCAGGCCTACGGAGCGATTTTGCAGAATCTAATGCGACACAAGAGCATTGGCGAGCGAATTGTCCCCATCATTCC